TGTGTGTGAGAGAGAGAGAGAGAGAGAGAGAGAGAGAGAGAGAGAGAGATCATGGGCATGCATGTGGAGGTCAGAGGACAACCTTGGGTGCTGGTCCTCATCTCCTGCTTTGTTTGAGACAGGGTCTCCAGTTCACCACTGAGTATGGTAGAGTGGCTGGCCTGTGAGCTTCTCACAGCTCTGCTTCCTCCTCCCATCTTACTACAGAAGCACTGGGGTTGCAGGCGTGTGTGCCACCATATTCAGCTTTCTGTGAGTTCTGGATCTCCAAACCCAGTTTCTCATGCTTTCGTGGCAACCATTTTATCCACTGAGTCATCTCCCTAGCTCCCAAATTAGACTGAAAAACTGTTTATTAATTTTGGTGTGTGTGTGTGTGTGTGTGTGTGTGTGTGTGTGTGTGTGTGTGTGTGCGCGCGCGCGCGTGCGTGCACATGTGGAGGATAAGGGACAACTTTGTGGAGTTAGCTCTCTCATTTCACCAGCGACTGACCTAAGGTTGTCAACTTGTGGCAAAGCACTTTTGCCCACTGAGCACCTCATTGGTCCTTCAGATTGGGCTTTTAATGGACAGCTAATCCTCTCTGTATCCATTGATTCTAATCCTGCAGAGTCAAGCAACCACAGAAGGAAACATTTGGGACATGTACAGACCTTTCCTTGCCATTACTCACTTCGGTCGGATAACTATCTCCCCATCAGTTACACTGTGCTAGGAGTCATATGTTAGCTCAGAAGGAGGTGACTTCAAGTCCAATGGGATATACAGAGGATCTGTGTGATCACTATGCCATTGGATGTAAGGGACTCGAGTCTCTGTGGATTTGGGGATCTGATGGGGGTCCTCGGATCAATTCCCTGTAGATACTCAATGATAGCTATGTATAGTAAGTGTTAAGCTAATGTCTGTTTTAATTATATACAAAATCAAGAATTTTCAGAGTCATGCTAGGAATGATCCCAGTGAACAATGATAATGATGGAACTAATGCCAGTAGGGCAAAGGCTGTCCTCCTCTGAGCCCTGGAGGCAGAGGGGCCTGTGCACTTCTTCCTTCTCTCTAATCTGAGTTCCTCCCCCTACTTTCAAGTTCTGTCATATGTCTAGTAAAAGGAAAAGGGAAGGTTTGGGCACCAGACGGGTGAAGGATCAGAGACCTAACTGCTGGGCCTTTTCTGAAAACCTCTTAGGCTCCCTACTGAATGCTCATGTTCTCCAAGAGAGCCTTGTAGCTTCACCTGAACTTCTGTGCACACACACATCTCTCGAGTGCATCAGGGGTGGAGCGGCTGCTATAGCATAGGCTGGGTAGCCAAGGGCAATTTACACTTATTTAAGTGGCGAATATTGAATTGTACTAAGTTCAGCCACCCTGCTTACAAGGACTTATGGTTTATGAAGGACACACGCCTACCAGCAGGCACCCCACAGGAAGGAGATCAAAGTGGAGTACCATGGCCATGGGGCTCTAAAAGTGGCAGGAGGATTTGCATACGGCCAAATTTTCCATATCTACTGTCTACTTCATGACTTTGCAAACTACCCACACCATTCTGAAGGAAATTCACTGGGTTGTATCTGCATAAACCATTCCCTGTGCTTCCCAAGACTGCTCATCCCCTCAAAACAGCTTGGCTTTTATGGCGCCAATCACAATTCTTGAGGCACAGAGATGTAACACTTCTTGAAGCTTGACCCACAAACAGCTACTGTCTCATAACACCTTGCACACTGGCCTCCAGGTATCATCACCCTCATATATAGACTCAGAATTCCTTTTTAGCTCTTGACTAGATTGATTTTTACCTTGGTTGACAAAAGATACATTGGAAAGTATGTCATGAGATCAAGGTTTTAGCAAGGGAAAAGATGGTTCTAGAACCCAGCCATGGAGATTGGAGAGGCAGAAGATGGGAGAAAGAGATAGATATGAGTTCTGGAAAGAGTGTGGTGTAGGGGAAGCTGTAGCCATGCCTTTTTGCCCTGATTGGGGGACCCCTCTGCCTTTTCTTACCCTGGTTCTGGGCCCCCTCTCCTTTCTTGCTGCCTTGTAGGGGAAGCTGTAGCCATGCCTTCTTAGGGGCTGGCTACAGTGTGGGACATTTGAAGTGCTGTGGACTGTAACAGAAATAATAACACAGAAGGGGCAGAGCGGAGAGGGAGACATGGGTTTAGATGGTGTGGTGGGCTGTGAACAGATGTGAATGGCTGCCCCCGAGGACCGTTGTGTTTTCCCAAACGCTATAGGAAGTGATCCACTGTTTTCTAATCTTGCTTAAATTATGCTGTTCTGCTTCTACCCACTCTCCCACGATGGCTGATCGTCACTGTCAACTTGAGTAAATTAGAATCACTGTGGAAATATACCTTTGGGTATGGTCTGCCTATGAGAGTGTTTCCAGAAAGGTTAAATTGAGGCAGGAAGACCACCCTGAATGTGGCAGCATTCACGGGACAGGGTCTCAGACTGAGTAAAAGGGGAAAGTGAGTGGAGCACCAGTGTCCATCTGTTTCTTGACTGCAAACACAACGTGACCAGCTACATCAAATGCCTGCCACCATGCCTTCTCCACCATGTACCTCTTAAATCGGGGGTCCCAATAAACTCTTCCTGCATTAAATTGCTTCTTGTCAGGTATTTTGTCATGAGTGCTAAGTAACTTCATCATTCCTATACCCTCCAAGGTATGTCACATGGACACGAATATCTGTCACATCAATAGTTATATGTACAAGTGCATCTGCCTATTGGTTTTTGGTATTACTTATACACATTTCCCATACAGGCTTCCTATTTTCCTCTGAAACTACATGAGGAAACTACATTGTCTTTTTCACCTTCATTTTTAGTTCAATGAACGAGATACAATAATTGTTGTTGTTGTTGTTATTAGCCAGAAGTCCTTTAATCTCCTCTCAGGATAAATAAAGGTGACAATTATTCTTCTGACAAAGAACAAAACATTTCTCATTTGTAGGTGTACCTGTCCATTCGTTCTCTTAAAAATAATATGTGATTCAGGAAAATAGGTTACTTATTATGTTTCTGTGAGTTCCAGGCTTTCTTCTACTAGAGCAGGATGGAATGAACAAATAAATCAAAAACTGAAGGCAGACAGCTAAACAGAAGCAGTTATGACGAAGTTAGCTTAATCTATTTTTGAGTCCTTGAGTGGCAGTTCTTGGAAGTCTAATGCCAGTGGTAAGCCTTTGGAAATTACAATTTCTCCCTTCCCTCATAGGAACTCAGTCTTTGGCGTTTACCTTCTAATCCCCTTGCCTCCACTTTCTGAGTGCTGGGATCATAGGTGTATCACCACATCTGGTAACTGGCTTACCATTGGCATTGGCATTAGACTTCCAAGAGCTGCCACTCAAGGACTCAAAAATAGATAAAGCTAACTTTGTCATAGCTGCTTCTGTTTAGCTGTCTGCCTTCAGTTGTTGCATTATTTGTACTGAGCTTAGAATCCAGGACTCAAACAGTCTACCAACTAAGCTAGTATCCCCAGCCCCGATACTACTGCTTGGGGCCTATCCTGGCACTCGCTCTGGAGACCAGGCTGGCCTCGAACTCACAGAGATCCGCCTGCCTCTGCCTCCCGAGTGCTGGGATTAAAGGCATGCGCCACCAACGCCCGGCTACTACTGCTTGTTTTTAAAAGTGAAAATCTTGTTACCATGGAGAAAAATCACAGCATAAAACCAGGACTTGTTGGAAAAGAAGGACGACAGAGTTGCATGCATGACCATGCTTCCCACCCCAAGGACAGGACAGTTGTCATCACCCAGCAAGTAAGACAGATAAGACACAAGAGTCATGCTAGGCTGCATGCACAGGCTCCCTGAAGTCAAGCACACCACTCCAGGGGGCCCACACTCACATAGAATTCTAGCAGGGCCTTGGGGTTCAGGCTGAGGGAAGGCAGGTCACCGACAGAGTGGTTATGGTGCAACGTGGCAAAGAAAGTGTCTCGCAAGGCACTCAAGACAGACAGCCGCAACCATCTCTTCAGAAGTCAGGGCGAGATGGGGAAGTTAGTGGAAAGAAGCAGGTTAACGGGTTTCCTTTGGTAGTTAGCAGGGCTTCATGAAAGTCAAGCAGGTGTCATTCATATACACTTAAAAAGATTAATGTCAAAGAATGCCTGGAAAACCTACATGCCACTTCTCAGTCAAAGGTGAAGTAGAGTGAGGGAAAGATAGGCAGAGGAAGCCAGGCCCGGACTCAGAGGGCCAGTGTGTCCCAGAACATGGCTGCCATAGTCACCACACAATTATGATGACTTCTAGGAATTACTTTCCTTCTTTCCATGTGTTTACGTGTGTGGTATGCGTTGGTGTATGTGCATGTTTACATGCACCGGTGAGGAGTCCCAAGCTTGATATCAGGAATTTTTCTTGATTGTTTTCTCACCTTATTCTCCAAGGCAGGCTCTCTCAATCAAACCCAGAGCTCTAGGATATGGCTAGTCTCACAAGCCAGTCTACTCTGGACATCCCCATCTCAGCTTTTCCAGGCTGGAATTATAGGTGGGCTGTCACACCTACTGGGCATTTATGTGTGTTTTGGTGATCCAAACTCTAGTCCCCATACTTGCATAGCAAGCACTTTAACTGTGGAGCCATCTCCCCTGTTCTTGAAAATCTCTGCCATGGGTGTTAATGTTTCAAATTCTACCGGAACTCCCAGCCTTATTATTTCTGTGCCAGAAATCACACTGAACTTACAAAGAAGGAGTGGTCTTTGAAGGTAGGAGTTTCTGGGGTGCCCTGGCTGTACATGGACATCCTCCGCTGGAGAGCGGCTGTCTTGTTCCCAGGGCCCGATGATGGGGTTGTGTCCTCCACGTCAAAGGGACTGTAAAACAATAGGTCCTCAGGTCAGCATATCTGTTAAAATCACCTGTCATCATGAGATGGTGGAAGATGGCTTCTCACTGTGACAACATCTTCTCAGACCAGTGGGAACAGGGCTCGTTGGATCAAGCTAGGATGTCAGAAAATATAAAGAAAAAAAAGTGTAGCAGTTTGGGTGTGGCCACTGTACCATGCTGATGCCATGGTTCACACACCAGCCCTGAACAGCTTTAGCCATCAGCACCTGCTTTTTTATGGTGAACTCGAAAAGAGGAACTTACTACCAAGTGATTTCCAGGTTCAGTTTGATTGTACCAAGGTCATTGATGTCAACAGCCAGCACCTGGGGTCGGGCTGCAAACAGCTCTTTGGTCTCACACGTCACACTGCCCACCAGGATGTGAGTTGCCAGTCCTTTGAGTTCGGTGACCTGGTAGAGAAGGTGTGATCAGAAAAGGAGGAATAGTCTGTTTTCACTTTCCCTTAATTGATTCTTTATTTCAGAAATACATCTGACAGGTATTTTTAAAAAATGTTATTTTGCTACAGTTACTTTGTCTCCTGTCTTTGAGAGCAGTTCAAGTGTAAGTGGCTTTGCACAAATACAAGCCTATGTGTTCGATGGACAGACACCACCCAGGGATCATTGGGTGATGACACCAGGAAAGACTACAAAAGGCGACAACAATACCACTGTACCTTGATGGAAATGAGCCCAACTATGAGGGGCAAGAAGACCGTTTCTTCTCCATCCCAGCTCTGTTTGCCATTCACTTCTATTTTGCCCTTCAGTTTCCACCTCTGCCGGCCATACTTCATGAAAATCTGGGGTGAAGACATTAGGGAGCCTCATGTTCCACCAGACTCCACTTTCTCTCCCGGTCACTAAGATCCAAGGGCCAGGAAGTAGGCACCTACCCTTCAATCCTCTTCCCAGCCCCCAGTCTGGGTTCTCAGAGGAGCCCACGAGGAGTCTGGAGGAGGTTTAATTGATTTATGTTTATGTACTTGAAACAGGGTCTCACTATGTAACCCTCCTGGTTAGCCTGGAACTCACTAAGTAGATCAGGCTGGCCTCCAAACTAACAGCACTCCACCTGCCTCTGACTCTTGAGTGCTATTGTTAGAGGCATGTTGTCAGCACATCTGGCCTAGTCAAGGGGTGCAGTCTGCTTCTCTAGCTGAAGGTGCAGACATTTTTTTAGTAAGAGATCATAGCAGTGGCTGGAGAGTTGGCTCAGTGGCTAAGAGCCCTTGTTGCTCTTGCAGAGGACTGAGGTTTGGTTCCTAGCACCCATGTCATGGCTTATGACTATCTTAATTCCAGTTCCAGGGGATTGAACACCCTCCTCTGGTCTCTGCAGGCATCAGGCACACACATGGTGTACAGACATACATGCAGGCAAACACTCATACACATAAAATAAAAATAAATCTACATAGGTATTTTAAAAAGTCATAACCAGGCATTGGGGGCTCATGCCTTTATTCTCAGCACAGGGAGACAGAGGCAGGCAGATCTCTGAGTTCAAGGCTGGCCTGGCCTACAGAGTGAGTTGCAGAACATCTAGGACTACACAGAGAAGCCTTGTTTTGAAAAACCAAAAAAATAGAATAGAATAAAATAAAAATAAAAATAGGTTTCACAGCCTTGTGTCAGTCTGCCCAGGCATGTGAAACTTGTCTTTGTCCATCCTGCATCACCATCTCAGCCATCGGAACTTTTTCTCTGCTGACTCCAGATCCTTCAGAGCGTCAAGAACCATCTCCAATTCTATCTGCACCCAGAAGGGAGAAATAAAGACTTCTTCCTCTGAATGAGGGAGGTGACACTGGTAAAGGGTGAGACCTTCCATTCTCTGGCAGAGGACAGCTGGAGTGAATGACCTCAGAGCCTTTGTAAGGAGACAATGAAATGTATATTGTCTTTTGAAGAAGGAAAAGACAAAAGGCCTTTTTTACTTCACAAAGGTTTTGTTTTGTTTTGTTTTGTTTTATTTTTTGAGACATGGTCTTACTATGTGTCTCAGGCTCTCTCTCTCTTTTGGTTTTTCAAGATAGTGTTTCTCAGGGTAGCCCTCGCTGTCCTGGAACTCTTTATAGACTAGACTGGCCTAGAACTCACAGAGATCCTCCTGCCTCTGCTTCCCGAGCGCTGAGATTAAAGGCATGCACCACCACCATGCTTACAATTTTGTGTCAGATCATTTCATATTCTTGGCTGCATGCAGTCTACAGGCCATGTGAGCTGGACATGCCTGGAAACTGTGTTTCTTTCATAGTCATAAGACTTTGAATCAGTCACGATCCTACATTAGATCTTGGATCAAAAAGAAAAATGACTACAATGTATAATTTTGAGGTACTTGGGAGAATAAGAATGTAGACTGTAAGATGACATTTGCTGAAGAGGCAATGCTAAATTTGTAGGTATAAAGGATTGTCCGGGGCTTATGTGTTGGGAGAAGAGCTTAGGAATGAAGGGTCATGATTGGCAGTGAACAACATAACATCCACATGGTAATGAAGGGGTATATGGAGCTGTCATGTTCCATAAGTGGGAGTTCTTAGATAACCTCCAAGCTTTTTCATTGGCTCAAATTTTATAAGACAAATTAAGCAAAAATAACTGGACCCAGACCTGGTAGTCTGTGCCTGATATCCTAGCTGAGGCAGGAGGATTACAAGTTCATGACTAGCCTCGTAAAGAGCATGCTCGTAAAGAGCAACTTTACGAAATGCTGTTTCAAAAACAAAGAGTAGGGGTGGAGAAATGGGTCACCCATTAAGAGCACATATTGCTTTTGCAGAGGATCTGATTTCAGTTCCCTGTAGTCACATCAGGAGGCTCACAACAGCCTGCAACTCAAGCTCTGATCTCTGCAGGACCCTCACTCCTGTCCATATATCCACACAGACACAGACACAGACACAGACACAGACACACACACACACACACACACACAGAGAGAGAGAGAGAGAGAGAGAGAGAGACAGACAGACACACACACACACACACACACACACACAGAGAGAGAGAGAGAGAGAGAGAGAGAGACAGACAGACACACACACACACACACACACACACACAGAGAGAGAGAGAGAGAGAGAGAGAGAGACAGACAGACACACACACACACACACACACACACACAGAGAGAGAGAGAGAGAGAGAGAGAGAGACAGACAGACACACACACACACACACACACACACACAGAGAGAGAGAGAGAGAGAGAGAGAGAGACAGACAGACACACACACACACACACACACACACACAGAGAGAGAGAGAGAGAGAGAGAGAGAGACACACACACACACACACACACACACACACACACACAAACGCACACACAATTTTTTAAAAAAGCAAAACATTGACTGGAAATGTAGTTCAATGGTAGAGCACTTGCTTAGCATGCATAAGGTTCTGGGTTCAGTTCCTAGTACCAAAATAGCAGCAGCAGCAGCAGCAGCAGCAACAACAAAAACAAAACTATAGCCAGCCCCTGTCCTTCAAGGCCCCAATGCCAACATGTAGACCAACATGTTACTTACTTCATATTGATCTCCAGGACAGAGGCGAGCAAAGCCAGCCAAACCTGTAAGAAGAGATTGGGCTGTGAGGTAAGAACACATTTCCCTTCTTTAGAGGCCCAATTTGTCATAGGTTAAAAACTCAAGTATTATGTGAAACTGGTGAAAATGAACGTTACAGATTTGAGACCATCTTTGGAGAATAGCCTTTTCAGGGGATTTGAGGGGGATTCCACCATCAAGGTTAGAGGGGCACATTCCTTGATAGGGTGGCTGGAAGGGTGGATTTTCAGGACTGGGAAGGATGTTAGGTGGTTAGAACTCTGTGTACCTTTGGCATATTTCAGGATCAGGGCAGCAGGATCAGAAAAGATCTATTCTTTCACTGACCAAAATATTCCCATGAAAATAAACCGGCCTCTTGTTTTTCTTTCTGTCCCAAGATCTGTGACACTAAATACCTCCCTTGTGAGTCCTTGTCCCCACACCCATGACTTGACTGAACACACTCATTGCTCTGTTTTTCTCATTCTTTTTATACAGAACAATGATGCCACTGTTTATGGTTATGGAATTGCTAGAAATAGACTATAATGTACACAAAACTGGTGGTTAAGAAAACAAACCAAGGGGTTAGAGAGATGGCTCAGTGGTCGAGAGCACTGATGGCTCTTCCAGAGGACCTAGGTTCTATTCCCTACACGGCAGGCACCTACATGGCAGGTCACAATCATCTGTAACTCCAGGATCTGACACACACACACAGACATGCATGCAGGCAAAACATTAATGTACATAAAATAAAAAAAATATAAAAAAGAAAACAAACCAAATCCAATCAACCAACCAACCAACCAACTGCCTACAGCCTACATGCTCAACAGAAGAGGTCTGTCTTAGTTAGGGTTATCACTGTTGTGATGAACACCATGAATAAAACAACTTGGGAGGAAAGGGTTTATTTGGCTTAGGTGTCCCTGTCACTGTTTGTCATTGAAAGAAGTCAGGACAGGAACTCAAACAGGGCAGGTACTTGGAGTCAGCAGCTGATGCAGAGGCCCTAGAGGAGTGCTGCTTACTGGCTTGCTCCCCATGGCTTGCTCAGTCTGCTTTCTTATAGAACCCAGAACCACCTGCCCAGGGATGGCCTGGGCCCTCCCCCATCAATAACTAATTAAGAAAATGCTCTACAGCTGGAACTTATGGAGGCGTTTTCTCAATTGAGGTTCCCTCCTTTCAGATGACTCTAGCCTATGTCAAGTTGGCATAGAACTTGCTAGCACAGGGTGGCTTTCCTTCCCCTGTGCCATCTGCTAGTCATGTGGAAACTGATTGCTCCCCTTGAAGTCTACTATGCACCAGTCTGGTTCAGCAGCAAAAACATCTTGTCAAAATAGATGGTCATCATCTTGGGGGGCTCAGGAGTCCCAGCTTTGGTCACCCCTTTTCTTTTTCCTATAGAAATTTACTGAAAGCCTACTGTGTGAGGCTGAAAATATCTATTTACTCCTTAATTTCCTTAGAAAAATTTGTGACAAAAATTCCAGAGAAAAATTTGGCACAGGTATTTTTCATTTATAACCTTTGAGTCCTGGAAGGTTGCTTCTTGTGTGTTTGTATATGCTTGTGCATGTATACATGTCCACATGTGTGCCTGTTCATGTGGAGGCCAGAGTTCGATGCTGATACTGATACTGTCTTCCTCAATTGATTCATCCACCTTATTTTTTGAGACAGTATCTCTTACTGAACCTGGAGGTTGCTGTTTGGTTAGATTGGCTGGCTAGAAATCACAGGGACCTACCCTACTTACCTGTCTCAAGTACTGCCCCTGCCACTCCCACCGCTACCACCAATATGGGATTATAAATGCATGACACTATGCACAGCTTTTTACATGGATTCTGCAGATCCAAACTCAGATCCCTATGCTTGCTTCATGCTGTCTTCTTGCCCTGGGCTATGTTTCTGGCAAACCACATTTTACTCATGAAACATAATAAGGACGATGTCACACTGTGTGTTCTACCTTCAATGAATGGCTCAATTAATAGACTGTGAGAATCTGGAATGAATGAATTTGCATCCCATTGGCCTATGGGCACAGTTATGAATAAGATCGGTAAGTCCAGGGAAGCTTCAAAATGGACCCATCTTTTTTTTTTTTTTTTTTTTAACCATCATTCGTCAGTAGATGGCAGCAGTTCACCAACTTGGCATGTCTTTTTCTTGGGCGAGCCCATCCATCTAGGACCAGCTCTTGCTAATAATCAGAAGCTAATGAGCCACTTAGGAGGCTTCACTGTAATAAAAGCAAAATTGGAGGAAGCTATTTTCATGAATAGTTCTGGAGCACTTAGGCTTTTTATCCCCCAGACAAAAATACATCTGGAAGAAAACATCGTTGGCTGATTTATGAATCCAAAGCCTGATGTGCTAATTCTAACAAAACCCAGTTTATCCTTTGAAAACCTACAGATTATTGGTTTGGGGTTAATCTGCTACCTGTTTACTCATGCAGTGACAATAAGGGACACTGCTTAAAAGAAGCGGACCATGTACCATGCTAGATAAGGTGAGGGAAGCAGGTAGAGTCCTTTGAAGATTCATCCCCCTTCTCAAAATTACCAGAAATTTCCCATGTGAAGACCTTCACTTGAGAGGGAAGGCTGTGGTCACAATGGATCTGAGACCTCACTGACCATGTAATGAAAGCATTTTCTTGGCATTCCTTGCAAGGCATCTCCCATCCCCTGGTGACAGTGATAACAGCAGAAGGGCGGCAGTAAGGAGGCACCAGCTCCAGGGAATGCTTCCTGAAGCTCTCTAGGTGGTGGTGGTGGTGGTGGTGGTACAGGCTACAGAATGAGCACCTTGGCTGGAGCAGTGGCAGTGACAGCCTGTCTTTGGGGCCTGGCAGGGTTCTTTCAATTCTGGCCCGAGGCCCTGCTGGCATTTCTACAGCTGTAGGACGCTCAATGTTTTCTCAGTTTCGATGGTAACTGTTAGGTCAGCTAAGAAGTTTTCATTATGGCCACTCAGGACCCATCCCTGGGTTCCCTCTAATGGCATACCTGGGAGGCCAGGAAATAGGGGACTTACATATTCACATCTTTTCAATCTTTTAAACTTGCTCCCATGTTACTGATGTAACAGCTCTTTCACAACCTGAATGGAGGGAAGGGTGCTGTCCCAATGTGACTATATGAATATGAAATGTCCCCAGGCTCATGTTTGAACATTCGGTCACCAGCTGGTAGCTCTGTTTTGAGAGGTTATGGAGTTTTCAAAAATTGGGGACTACCTGGAGGGAACCAGACACTGGAGGGTGGGTCTTGAGGTTTATAGCTCTGCTTGCTTCCAGCCCCCACTTTGCTTCCTGATCCAATTGGATGTGAACAAATCCTTGACTCAGCTGCAAGCCCCTCCAGCTACCACAGCTCCCCCTCCCACAGTGGACTGAATTCCCCCAAACCTTAAGCCACAATGAATCGTTTCCCCTTAAGTTAGTTGCTGCTTTAGGAGAGTTTATCACAGTGTAGCTCTTGCCCCTGTGTCTTTATCACCATCACCAGGACAACTGCCCTTCATGTTGTAGTTAGTTGTGGGGTTGAGCAAAAGGGAAGTGTAGGAGGGTGTGTCAGTAGGAAGTTAGGGGTTGCCAGATCTGACAATGTGATGCAAGTGGCTAGTTTTGGATATGGCGGTAGGGGTTGGGGGTGTCTCCTAATCAAACACAATAGACAGGAGTGGCTCATGGGAATCTAGGATGTCTTGACTTGACAGCAGGCACGTCTTCTTTTGTGAAAGGAGAAGAGGATAGTGTGTGTGTGTGTGTGTGTGTGTGTGTGTGTGTGTGTGTGTGTAATCACAGATATAGTTTCTAGGTTTTTTACATTAAGAGACTAGAGGTGACAGAAGTTGAATAAGTTGAATTTAGGGCAACCAAGGAAAAAGATGAGAAAAGTGGGCAGGGGGAGAGCAGAGCAGACAGCTCTGGCATTCACTACCTCCGCCCAAAGCACCTGTTCACTGCTGGTGGCCAGGATATCTCTACCCATGGCAGAATCTCAGTATCATTTCCTTACTATCTCCAGGCCCGAGATGTAGATCTGTGGATGGTGGGTAGTCCCTTTCCGCTACCAAGCCTTTTGGGTGTCCATGTTTTATGGTGAAGGGAATCCCTTTTCTAGAGAAAAATCAACATCTGAGCAATGGTTGATAGTGTCTGCTCAATTGGTAAAACTTCTTCATAAGGTAGCATTAAGGTGGTCATGTACCGGCAGCTGTGATGTCTAATCTCCATGACCACTTGAATAAAAAATGCCTAGAAGACTGGGTATGGTGGTGGATGACTACAATCCTAGCATTTATGGGGTAGGGAGTGGTAAGAATATCAAGAGTTCAAGGTCGGCCTCAGCTATATAACAAATACTGTATGAGACCCTGTCAAGAAAGAAGGAAAGGAAGGAAGGAAGGAAGGAAGGAAGGAAGGAAGGAAGGAAGGAAGGGGCCCTGAGAAGCAGTCAGGCATAATACATAATAGGTGTATCTGTGAGGGTGTTTCCAAGGTCATTAAATTTAGAAAGCAAGACCCACACTGAATGTGGGTGGCCACATCCTGCAGTCTGGGGTTTTGGACTGAATTAAAACAACAGCAACACAACAACAACAAAAGGGAGGTGAGTTTGGCACCAACATTGTCCTTTCTCTGCTTCCTGGTCCTGGGGAACTCGAGAGTTCTCAGCCGCAGGCCCCCACAGCCATGAGTTCTTTTATACCCTCCCTGCCATGATCAACTTTTGTCCTCCAAACCATAAATTACAGTAAACCTTTTGTCCCCAAAGTTGATTTTTGTCAGGCGTTTGTCACAGAGATAAGAAAAGTAACATAGGAGCCAGGACCCGGAATTCAGTTTTAAGTCTGACATCAGCTTACTGTGTGACTGGTGAGAAGTCATCTACTGTCTCTTGGCCACTGGCTTCCACATAAGAAATAGAGGAAATTATGCCTCTCATAAAAAATGGCAACATCTGTACCAATCAATGTTAGAAACAGGACATGGGCAGTCCATGTGTTAACAGTGACAAAGTAACTTCACTCTATATGCTAGCCCACAAGGAACCTGGCTGCTGACAAAATCATCCTGAAAGTTTAGAGAACCTTAGAACCCCTAACCTGGATGTATAGATTTTGAACTGCTGAGGGAGGGTGGACCCCAAACCACCGACTCAGGTGGAGACCTAAATGGAAGCAAGTAGACTTAAAGAGTTGGAAGGTGTAGGTGTCCAGCATAGGCAATGTGCTCAGGCTACACTACATGTTTGCCTGCTGCCTGAGGAGGTCAGAATATGGCATCAGATCCCCTGGAACTGGAGTTATCAATGGTTGTAAGCAGCCATGCAGGCATTGGGAACCCAACCCAGGTCCTCTTCAAGAACCACTGGTGTTGTTAACCACAGTGCCATCTCTGTAGCCCGGCCCTGAGCCTCTTTGAAAGGGAGTCTCCCCCTTTCACTCTGCTTGTTGCAGAAAGTAGGGAAGGTAATAACTCTCATTAGCAATCTAGGGATCAAACTGTTAAACAAGCAACCAAAACGGAGAGAAAGGACTGCAGGGGCCTAGCCCTCTCAGCTGCCATCAAATGGGTCAAAAAGGGAGAGAAAAAGGACTGGCTCTGATGGTGCTGCCCAAAGTCCTCATGGCCACTGTGGACACCACCATGTAAGTCTGACCACATCTAGTGGAGCTCTCTTTTCTGAAACCAGGCTTCCTTTTTATGCAGAAGATGCTGTAGTCTAAACCAAAGATGCTTCTAGAACATTCTGTACTAAATATTGCTGACTCAGAGAAACATAGGAGAGAAGGAACAAATGAAATGGTTATGTGACAGGAAGCCAGGCATAGTGACACAGGCCTATAATCCCAGTGGTTGGCAGGCTGTGGCAGGAGGATTGCCTTGGGTTTGAGACCAGCCCGAATTATGTTGAAAAATTTTGACTTAGAAACAAAAGGAAAATATCCTACATAGACAAATAAACAAATTAATAAATTACAATGCAAAGAAACCAACAGGCAAGTCTAGAATGTAGAACAGGGGTTTTGTTTTAGATTAAAGGGAATCTGTCTGACAGCTAGTTATGACACACGGACCTTCCTTGCGTGGGTTCTAATGGAAGCAAAGCAACTGTAAGAAGCACTTTTGAGACAGCTGGGGATGTCTGCAAATGAACTAGGTTAATAACAAAGGCTTGTTAATTTTGTTAGATTTGATAATGGGACAACAGGACACAGCACTGTGGTTACATAAGAAGATGGCCCTATTCTTTCAGAACTGTTCCCTGAAGTTTACAGGCACTGGCTGACACACTTGGGTTTTGCTCCTCTGGAGTTTTCTAGTTCATCAAAGGGAAAAGAAAATGTAGCAAATGTGATTACTGAATCTGCAGGACAGATTGTGAGGATTTGCTATTTCACTCAGTCTATTCTTGTGCCTGTTTGACATAGTCCTACAATAAACACCATTTGCAAATGTGAAGGCAAGATTCAAGAAGAGACTCATCAAAAACACCAACATGAGTGGAAGGGCTGAGTGTGGGTGAGCCTATGTCCCTGCAAGGAAAACACAAATAGCATCCTTCTCAGGAAGCACTGTGAAGACGGCACCTCCCTCTCTCTCTAAACAAGGGAAGATTACCTTTCATCTTGATGGAGAATTCTCCCAGCAGACTCTCCAGCTCTGCTTCGATGGTGCACATGTTCTGCAAAGAGCGTAGGAGATGGTGTTAGATCCACCACCCTCCACACTACAGCTCAAAGCACAAGGCATTTCAATAGTGACAGCATAAACAAAAGGCATTTTCCTGTTGGCCGTGAATACACAGAACAGTCCCTGAGACACGGCTAAGCAAGGCTTCCAGTGCACAGGATAGCTTGGGCTTAGATGAACAAGTTAAATCACACCAAAAGAGTCAGACAAATATAGAATATGGGCTGTTTCATAAGAACGGACTGTATTATTGTGATGGGGAATCAGCCACACACACTACAGAGGAAGAGATCCATGCTCCAGGTTAAACAAGCTGGGTCAGCCATTCTATAGTATATGCCTGTTTTATAACAACATGCTGTATAACACACACACACACACACACACACACACACACACACACACCGTACACACACATATCTTTTACTTGCTAAATTAAAAGAAAATAATAAGAAAAAAGCAGTCAGGCATGGTGGTATGTGCTTGTAATCCCAGTACAAGGAAGGCAGAGTGGCTGACCTCTGGGCCTTGTTGGCTTGTCAGCCTAGCTTACTTAGAAAGTTCCAGGCCAGTGAGAAATCCTGTCTCAAGACAAAACAAACAAAACACAACAAAATGGGCGGTAGTACCCAAGGGATGACAGCTGAGCTGAAGTATTCGTCTGGTCTCTACATGCGCCTCTCTATAACACACACACACACACACACACACACACACACACACACACACACACACACACACACATTTGGGAAGGGGGGAGAGCATAGGAGTTCAGTTCTGCTCAAGTGAGGCAGACTTCCTAATGTGATGTCATGAAGTCCCAGAATGACCCCCTAGGTCTAGTAGGGGTCCCTTCCTCACTGTGGTGCTAAAGGAATGAGAGGTTGAAGGTTACAATGCCTAACTACACCCATTCTACTGCCTCAGTATCTGATGACCTAATGAGAGCAGTTAGAGGCAGACTTAAAGTGCCACAGCCCCAGTCTGTCCCCAGTGAGGGTCTCCTGCCGCTCAGCTGGGGCAAGATTTGGAAGCCTCCATACTGTAGTAAGCTGCAGTGTCCACTGCTTCCGAAAGGTCTTCCTCATGGCCAGCTTCACTGAGGCTCAGCCTGTCTAAGTGACCTTTCTGACAAAAGTGAGACTACTCAGTGAGCACGAGCAGGCACAAGCAGGGCTTCAGGGAGCATTAGGAAGGCCTGAGGCTCCGTTTCTTATATATTTCTTTGTTCTGCTCATCACCTTCATTCTCGTGGGACACAGAGAGAATGCCCTTACCCCTCCTGTCAGAAGATCTTAGTACTTCAGAGAGCTCAGCAAAGCTGGGAAGGCAAAGCATTTCCTCAGGTCTGAGCTCAGAGGAGCCTGAAAACTTTGAAAGCAAAATCTCAGCTTCCTTAGAGCCTGAGGCCTCTCTGCAAGGGAACAGTTGCTAGACATTCCAGATGTGTCATCAGACATGTTGGGACTGCTACTATTGTCTCAAGAACTCAGGGGCCACTAGGTTAACAGCTGAAGTCACCCACGGTCACAATACAACCAGGGCTGAACACTGTTACATATGGGAAAATACTCTTGAGACTTGCTGCTGCGATTACGGTGTGATAAAATCACTTATGATTTTCACTGCTTTGAAACTGGAGTGCTTATTAGGGCTGTTCCTGTCCTGTAATTCTGATGTGCTCAAAAAGCAGGTGGTAGGGCTGGAGCGATGGCTCGGTGATTGAGAGCACAGGATGTTCTGCCAGAGTGTCCAGGTTTGGTTCTCAGCATCTACACTGTGACCCATAACCATCTGTAACTCCAGTTGCAGGGGATCTAGGGCCCTCTTCCAGCAATCAATTTAATGACCTAGTTATCTCCATAGCCCTTATTTATTTATTCGAGACAAGTTCTTGCTATGTAGTCACTATGCAGCCCAGGGTGGTCTTAAACTTGAAGCAAATCTCCTATTTCAACCTCCGAGTGTTGAGATTACACTATGCCCAGCTTATTTTATGAATTAAACATATTCTTCTGAAAAGGGGGAATTTAGGCAAAGAAGAGCCTAATATTAAATCATGAAAAGAGCAAGACTTGGTTCAGACAATGGGCAGCCCTGTGGTTGGAGTATAAAGGGATCCATCCTGAAACAGATGCTTGGCTCTGTGAATTGTCCACCAGGCCCTGCTCGAGCCATGACCTCATGGATGACATTTGATCTCTGAAGAAAGTCTCCAGGGACAGTGAGACGTGCCGCTTTAATAATTCAGCCTGTTCATCAAGGGCATGCATTAGTGTTAGGTGACCCCTAGAGGGGTGAAAACCTCCCAGTTTGATGCTTGGGCCCCAGGGACCATCAGAAACCAGGAAGATACATTTCTGTTCATGGTTCTTTATCTTGGATAAAAATTTCTCATAAACACATCAAAAAACAAGCAAACAAGCAAGAAAACAAAAACAATACCAAAAACAAAACTGAGGCAGGATGGATACCTATATCAATACCATGTGGGCTGGACATCTCAACCTGGGGTTTACTCTTCCTTCAGGGTACACAACAGTATTTGGAAGTGAATTTAAATGATGACATGTTAGGCATCATGACTCCGTTTAGACAATTCCACCATTGACTGGCTTGTTTGCAGTTTTCCTCCCTCCCCCCACATTAGGGGAGGAGCCTCATGTCTGTAAGGTAAATAAATGCTCTACTGCTGACCTACTTTCCCAGCTCTTTTTTTTTTTTTCTTTTTTCTTTTTCTTGTTTACATTTTGAGCCACAGTCTCAAAGCCTGGCTTTGAACTCACTCTATAGCCCGAGTTAGCCTTGAACTTGTAATTCCCCTGCTTCAACTTCCTGAGTAGCTGGGCTTACAGGCCTGTGCCAGCAGGCGTGGCTGCATTTGTGTGTATTTTCTAGAGTATGGAATGGGTTTGTGTGCGGCTGCTTGGCTTTTTTCTGGCAGTGATTGTCAGGTCAGATCCAGCCATGGACAGAGATGGCAGGGTTTACCTCTGTGTACTCCTTATAGCTGCGGTTGATCTCTGACAGACTCTCCCGGGCAGCCTTGCTGGCAGGGGACGCTGCAAATGCTTGCTTCATTTTGCTGGCACCATCTTGGAGACGCCGTTGGATACAATAGGCTTCATAAAGCTCATCTACCTGCCGGAACCCAAACAGGAAAGAGATAAATAACTGTCACGCTTGAGAGAAGTCCCACAGGCCCTTGTCATGCCCTTAAAGATACACTGTCTTTCTGTTCTCAAGAAGCAGAGTCCTGCCAAGGGTCATTCCTTTAGACCAGTCACCTACTTCCAGCACTATGTGTCACGTTTGTTTGTTTCAAAGTAGATTTTGCTCAAATCCTGTTTCTAAATTACATAAGTGCTTGTATTCAGAGCTCTCCCTTGAATGTATAGATCAGGTTTTCTCAGCTAAACTGAAGGCCAGCAAGCCCCAGCCACCCTCGTATCTTGGAACTTGGGTTACAGACATTTTAGGGATACCCAGTTTTTGTGGCATGGGTGCTGGGATCCAAACCCCATTCCTTGTGATTGTGGGATTGAATAGCAAGTACTCTTAACCACAGAACCATTTCTGTAGACCTGGAGTTAGCCTTTTTTGCTTGTTTGTTTTATTCTTAATTATGTGCCTATATGCTGTGTGTATCTATGTGTGGGCATGTGTACTTGAGTGCAGGTGCCTTTGGAAGCCAGAAGAGGGCATTAGATCCTCTGGAGCTGTATTTATAGGTAGTTGTGAGCCAAGGGATATGGGTGCTGGGAACTGAACTCTGCAAGAGCAGAGTCTGCTCTTAACCACTAAAACAGCTCTCTAGCCCTGGGAATAAGTATTTAAAAATTAAAAATGAGTTTTTTACCGAAAACAATTTTGTAAAGTCATGCATTAATAGCAAATAAAATGAAATTAATTTGTTCAAATTTATTTTCAAAGTGCAATCCCAACAGTGATAAATGATCAGACTTTACATTCTTATTTCGCCCCATCTCCCTCCCCCCCACCCTTCCTTGCTTAATTCCTCTCTTTCTTTCGGACTTTATTTACTTATATTTTATGTGAGTGGGTGTTTTGCTTGAATGTGTGTCTGTATCACATTCATGCCTGTGTACACATGGAAGTCAGAGGAAGGTGTTGGATCCCCTGTGTCTGGAGTTACAATTGGTTGTGAGCCATCATGTGGTTGGAAACTGAACCTGGGTCCTCTGCAAGAACAGCCAGTGCTCTTAATTCCAGCCCCAAGGCTTTCATTTCTATGTTCAGTTTAGATATCTGTGAGTTGAAGGCTCACTGGGCTCATGCTAGACTCAGGGTGGGCATACACTGGGCAGTAACTGAGAGCAGAAACACAGAAGCAAAGACAACAGCAGCATGGCTTACCTTACTAATGTGAAACTCCAGGCGTCGCATGTACCTCTCAATTGTTTTAATTTGCTGGAATTAAAAGGAGAAGCTTGAAAAAAGGGCAGCCATTCACAGCGCAATCAATTAGGCTTGTGAGAGTAATTTCAATAGCGTGTCCTCTGCACAAGCACTGGAAATACGGTACTTATTACTTCCTCTTTCCTCCCACCTTGACCACTATTTTAGGGTTGTTCTAATGTTAATTTTGAAAAACAATTTTTTTCAAAACACTGACTATCGTGAGAGATAAGCTTGAACTAATTATGGTCATCCTGTGTTTAACACTAAGGTGGCCAATCCATTCGATTTCTGGTGGAGCGGTCTCATTTTTTGTATGTTTTAAACTGAGCTTTTTGCCCATTGAATTATGCCTGAAACTGGGGTACATTTTATAATTGTTATTTGTCCATTGTGGCAGTTAGCCATGGGTTTGGGTTTACAGATACAACTGCTCATGACAGCTTTATGAGTCATAAATATTGTTGTAACATACATTTAATTTAATTACTCTTTAAAATATCGTCACAGAGACTATATCATAATTTAACATTTAAATAAAGCTATGTATATAGAATGGCATGGAGAGTCACATTGTATACAACTAAAAAGGAAGACATAAAAATCTCACTTCTAAAAGGCCTGAAAGAATTTTGTCAGTAAGAATATATATGTATATGTATACATATTATGTGAAAAGAAAGAACTAGATTTAAGTGTAATGATTTTCTATTTAATAATTTATTTTTATTTTTTTAAACATTAAATTATATATGGAATATGTAGTGAAAATATATATTTTAGTGGCACATAAACAATTGTGGCATTTTCTGATCAGAGATGTCTCATATTTGACATCTACTTAAAGGCCACATGGAAAGGACCTCTACATCCAAGTTCCAGACTCACAGAAACCAGAGCAAACACACAACCAGGAGGCCCTGTTTCCCCTCAAGCCAAATGCCCTTTGATTCTGGAGTGCCTAATGCTCATTCATCCTTTAACAACAACAACGAAAACGATTTTTCTTCCCAAGATGAGAAAATCATCCTTTATCTGGACTTGTACTGTCTACCCCAGGGTCTCTTACTGACATCTGCTCAAAGTGCAGAATTTCACTTCCAGCAACACCCCAACACAGAACGATAGCCTACCTTGTCTAGGTCATATAGCACACCCTGAAATAAAAAGAAGAGCCCCTGGTTATAACACATCATCCTCAGAAATGCCGTAATAAGCGGCGCGGCTCACATTTCTACATTGCTTGAGAAGGAATCACAGCCCCACAAAATTTACTGGATTTTTTGGTATCTGCTTTTACTGAGTAGAACTCTGGGTTATTTGGAATACTCTCAAGAGCCAGCATCACCTCACCTCTGTGATTCTATGACTGCACCCTATGCTTTCCGGCCTCTCGGCAGCTTTAAGGGTTCATAAAGAAAACCCAGAGAAGTCTGTCTGTCAGAAGTGGAAGATAAACACAACTGCAAGGCCTACCTATGCAGACTTGCCTGGGGTTTTGTGCTGCCCTGAAAGGCTAAGGTGTGATAAATAACACTTGGGTGTGAACAAAGTCAGTCCTCACAAATTCATCAGAATAGAGCACATTCTCCATCCAGCATGGGACTCAAAGATGCTTTCACTCTGGCCTTAGTGACCTTCTTCCCTACTTCCCTAACTGCTGCCACTGGCTGAGCTGGTTAGTTTTTGACACAAGCCAGGGTCATCTGAGAAGTGGACCGTCAATTGAGAAAAATGCTTTCAGGTTGGCATGTAGGCAAGTCTGTGGTGTGGGAGAGTCCTGCCCATTGTGGGCGGTACCACTCTTGAACACTTGGTCCTGAGTACTATAAGAAAGCGGGTTGAGCAAGACAGGAGGAAGAGACAGTAAAGCAGTGTTCCTCCATGGTCTTCTCTTGCCTCCAGGTTTCTGCCTGACCTCTCTCTATGATGGAGCATAGTCTATAAACTAAAATAAATTCTTCTGCAAGTTGCATTTGGCTACGGTGTTTACCATAGTAATAGGAAGCAAACTAGGACATTGACCCATATTTACAAGTGGGAAGTAGAGCAAAAAAAAAGTTCTTGTTTCTGAATTCTGAATGAACTAAGGTGATACTAGGAAAACAGCAACATATTTTGTTATATTACAGAGAGTTTTCTTTTCTTTCAAGGATTTATTTATGTATTTCATATATATGAGTGCTATGTCTGCATGTATGTCTGTATACCAGAAGAGGGTACCAGATCACGAGCTGCCATGTGGGTGCTGGGAATTGAACTCAGGACCTCTGGAAGAGCATCCAGTGATCTTAACCACTGAGCCATCTCTCCAGCCCTACTTAGGGGAGTTTCCAAAAACCATCCTTATCATCTTTATTTCACTATGAAGTATATCTATATAAACACATAGCACATGCTCAGAAGAAATAAGAATAAAGCTTTCAAAAGAAAATAATCTTTTTTCCTATTATTTATTTATTTATTTATTTATTTATTTAGTGTGTGAGACAAGGTCTCACTATAGTATAGCCCAGGCTGGCCATTTTCCTGTCTCAGCCTTCCTCCAGCAGGGATTACAGTTGTGAACCACCATGCTCAGATCTTCTTCCTTCCAAAACATAGCTTTGTTAAGCATTTCTCTCTTCCCCTCCCCTCCCCACCTCTGGTAAGCTAGGAGTGGAAACACCTACCCCCCCACCTTATGTTAGCATCCTCGTGGTCAGAGGGACTTACCAGGCGAGAGTTTCTTTTCATATCTTTTAACTGAGCGGTCAACTTGTCCAGCTCCGTCTGGTGAAATTCCAGGTACTCACTGCAAACATAAGACATCATGGTGAGCTCTCACTTCCGGAGGGACCTTGGCAGTTGCTGACCTTTGCCTTTTGAGTTAAGAATAGGAATCTCAGTCAGTCACACCATAATCTCAGTACATGGGAGACTGAAACAGGACTAATAAGTATTCTAGGCCAGCCTGGGCTTTACAGTAACTCCCAGGCGAGCCTGGGTTACAGAGTGAGACCCTGCCTCTCTCTCCTCTTGGAAAAAGAATCAAAACTTTGCTCCGTGGCTGGGGAGCATTTTGGAAACACTAGTAGTTACATCTGATCTTGTCTAGTTTGAAGAGAGGGCGAGAGATGGGGCAGGGAAGGGGATGTCCCTGTGAAGATGAAAACCCAGAAATGAAAAGTCAACTGGGAGGGAAGAGTCAGGCAGGAGTTTGGTCACACAGTTTTGTCACCTTGTAGTGACTGCAGGTGCCTTACCAAATGCTAGGCAAGGTTTCTTCTGGACAAATGGTTTCAGAACCCTTTATAGCGTGTTTACATGTGTATATGTTTGAGGCAGGTTGTATATTACGCCATCCAGGCTGACTTTGACCCTTTGATGATCCTCCTGCCTTGGCCTCCTGAGTGCTGGGTAGAATTACAGGTGGGATCCACCACACTGGGCTCAGAACCCTTCCTCAGCAATCTCTAGTGCAGCTATGGCTGTCCACCACCGTCTAAATAAAGTCCAACCCTGCAGGGATTGGATTTCACTTAACAATAAACACATGGACACTACAAACACATCGCCGTGTCAATCCTGCTTCAGTGTCATGTATACATGCAATTCCAACTGTCTCCCATCTAGGAGACTTACTAAAAGCTTCCTCAATTATAGAACTGGAAGGAAACACCCAGCGAAGTATGCTTTTTTCTTCTGCAGTCCCAGCACTTGACAGGTAGAGACGGGGTCAGAACTGCATAGTCATCGTTGTCTACATAGGGAGTTCAAGGCCAGCCTGAGCCACATGAGACTCTGCCTCAAAACCAAACAAAATATATGCCGGGCATTGGTGGCGCACACCTTTAATCCCAGCACTCGGGAGGCAGAGGCAGGCGGATCTCTGTGAGTCTGAGGCCAGCCCGGGCTCCAGAGCGAGCGCCAGGATAGGCTCCAAAGCTACACAGAGAAACCCTGTCTCAAAAAACCAAAAATAAATAAAAAAATAAAAAAATAAATAAAATAAAATAGGGCCGGGCTATTAGCTTTTAGGAAGGAAAAGGGTTATTTTAGGAAGGAAAAATGCCCAAAGTGCTTTGTCAAGTCTATTGTTCTTACTCAAGTCCATTTTTCAAGGCTCTATAGACCTCCTCCACTCTCTTTGGCTGAGGCTCTTTGGGAGTGTTGTTATTTTTGTGTCCTAAATTGTGCATTTTCTTCAGTTTGGCCTGAGGCTTCTTGAGAGCAGAGGCATTTTCAATGAAGGAGTTACACCTAAAGAAAGAGAAAGGAGACTGTGAGTCTCAGACATCAGAAAGACCCACCAGGGAAACGCCTTTTAAATCTTCTTGCCTTCATCCTGTGCCCTGGATAAAGGTAACATGACCCTGGACAGCTACAGATCCCAACTGACCACATTTCCTTTCTTGATGTTTGTTGAAAGTTTCGCTGGGCAGAGGCTACCCTGTGGCATAGCCTAGCTTTGAGTTGTATGTCTTTTGAGGGTGCCCTTGCAGTCTAGCTCAAAGCGAGCCAGGAATAAATGTTCCAGGTGGAAACAATGAACAGGTAGAAGTTATATCAAACTAAAAGAAAGAAAGTTCTTTGCATAATATCAGATACAAACTTATACAAACAAAACCACATGTAGCTTGTACTCAGAACTCTCCTTGGAGTATTATTTATATTATTTTACTTTATTTTTTGAATTCTGTTTTTTTGCATATGGGATCTGTGTGTGTGTATGTGAAGGGGCTAGTGCATGTGTGTGCACACGTGTATGGAAGTCAGACACCGACTTTTGGGTATTGTTTTTTAATCATTCTTCTTCTTATTTTTTTTAGACAGAGTCTGTCTTTAAACCTGGAGCTCCTTTGGAAAGGGAGAGCATCAGCCATCAGACAAACCAAAGATGAGTTTCCTTGCATGTTACCCATTCACTCTCTGTACTTCCTTGGGTTTATGAGAGGAGGTGATTCCAGGGAAGGTAGGGCCTAATTTCCCAACTCCCCAGGGTCACGCTGAGGCATGGTCTTCATTCACTGTCTACTTTCATACCAAATACAGTCTCCAAAACAGGAAGGTAATGGTAAGTGTGCTTTAAAGGGGTTGGAAATGAGGCAGGAGGGAGTCCACACTCTTAGGTCCATGGCTAACTGTGGTACCTATTAGCATACCAAAGTGCACACTTGCCTCCAGGCTCTTTCAGTGTGGCAAGTACCTGTTACAGAGTCCATGCTGGCACCCTGGTTCTTCTCACCCGCTTCCAGTACTAACCTTTTCCAGCTCATGGGCTTTCCTTCCCCTAGTGTCTGATTCCTATACAACCCTGCCATTTCAGCCATGTATTTTCTTGGCCCTCTTTGCCACCTTTCTTGGCCCCCTCTCCCACTCCCCCACCACACACCCACCCCATGGCCTAGTCTAGTCTGCTGGCCATGCTCAGTGTATTACTTTCTCTCCAAGCTCTGGACTCTTCCAGATGCCCCTAGCTTTACTTTCCCTCATATCTCCATTAAAAACCATCCCCCCAACCATACCTCTGATGAGTCATGTCCCCAAAAGTGAGGACATGACTGCTCATAATAGCTAGGATGAGCTAGCCATTTACATACACACATCTTTGCACAAGAAATTCTGAGTGATATAATGACTGCACTTAACTCTGGGTGAGTTATGTTTTCCGTGAAGAGGACATTAACTACCACACACATGCACGTTGGTGTGGCACACACACCATCATCAGCTCCTGCCTCTTTTCTGCTGCATCCCAGGAGGAGCACCCAGCACTTGCCTGGATCGCCTTTCCTGCAGGCCGCTAAAGCCCGCGAAGGACTGGCTCCGGATGATGCCATTGGGCCCTCCAGGCGAGAAGGATTGAGATCCCACCAGCATGATTTCTGGGAGTCTGGTTGGCAGTCCTGTAAGATAGATGGAAGACCATGATGACTGTCAGGCAGGTTCGCACAGAAACACTGAGCTTGTCGACATCCACAGGTGTACAAGGTTAAGTGACTCACGAGGTCCTGGTCATGAGGGCCATGAAATGCTTCTGAGACTTTCCTAAAAAGATACTCATTTATACCAAAGTAAATATTATCACACAAGTTCCTGCCACTTAGGTTTCCTTTGGGGGTATGTGTATATGATGCACATATGTTTATGTGTGTTTGCATGCGTACGGGCACGTGTGCATATACGTGTGGATTCTTAAGGTGATGGTAGGAATCTTCCCAGACAGTGTTCATCTTACTCATTGTGGCAGTCTCTCAACCAAGTGCAGAAATTGACAATATGGCTAGTTGACTTAGCTAACTTGCTCCAGGGATCCCCTGTTTTCAACTTCACAGTGTTGGAATTATAGGCCGGCTGCTACGCCTTCCCAGAATTCATGTGGGTGCTGACAACTGGCACTTTATCCTCAGGCTGCACACTTACTCACTGAGCCAGTCCCCATCTTCCCAACCGACGCATGTTTTCTTAGGAGTGCCCACTCTTCCTTCCTTCCTTCCTTCCTTCCTTCCTTCCTTCCTTCCTTCCTTCCTCCTTCCCTCCCTCCCT